AATTTCTGCTTCTGAAGACCCAGCAGGTCCTTATTTCTCCCCACCCACTGCCCTGGCCGCAGGTAACACTGAGCCAGGGAGGGCCTTATCAGGCTCGCCTGCCTAGTCCCCAAGCTTTAAATACCCACTATATGCAAACATAGCCCAAATTTATTATTCCCAGTGCAAAGATGTGATTTCTTTTGTGTTAGGATTTCTACCCATCGTGTGTGAAACTTACAGGACTTAAGCAGTGTTAAGTCATTCAAAATGGAGTCCCAGAGGCCAATGTGAACTTCTGCGTTAGTTGTTTTGAAAAGTCCACGGCAGGGCTGCAAGTGTTTTCGAGTAAAACCAATACACCTACTGACAGACTCCTTACAATGAGCCCACTGGGCCACACGACTTTAAGGATCTTCACTGGAGGACCTGACTTCACCTGCTGAGAGGTGTGGATCCACATTCCATGTGGATGCTACCAGAGGCTCTGTCGGCGGAGAGGACGACTTTCGACTCACACTTGTCCCATGGCCGGACTGGAGACCACTGCTCGTGCCGAGCACCTCCTTCTTGGACTTCTCCCTGGAGTGGTTCGTTACTTCCTATCCTATCTTCCTGACTTTGACTGATCTGCGTTGTGTGCTAACTGAATGCTGGCTCCATTTCATGTATCTCCAATCTCCTGATTCTCACCCAGCCTTACCACTGGGCCCCACACAAACATCCAGTCCTAACATTTTCTCTGAGCTGGTCTGCTGCTGACGACTGCCAACTTGTCATGTTTACCTGGAAATATAATGCCATCTCAAACTTAATATACAATCTATTCAGAGCTCTTGGATGTCCCTCCAAACCTGTTCTGCCCAGGTCAACTCCATCTCAGTAACAGGTATCATCCCACCATCTACACCTTTCAAGTAAAAAAACAAAAATCTAAGGGCCTTTCTTGATGTCTCATTTTCTCTGGTGCCTGCGACCCACTCCCATCTCCAGTCAATCACAAAGCCCTGTCAGTCCCTTCCCAGTGTATCTGGAATCTGTCCACTTCTCACTACGTCCACTGCTAGTATCCTACTCTGAGCCATCACCATTTCCCACCACCTAACTGGCCTCCCTACTTCTGCCACCCTTGACCCTCCATGCCATTTTCCACCCATGAGCCTGAACGGTCCTTTTCAGAAGAGAAAGTACATATATCACTCCCCTACTCAAGATCCTCCAACGGTCTCCATTCAAACTTAACAAGCAGAAGTAGAAAAACCACAGAACTGAGGGTTCTAGCTCTGGCTCTGCCACCAACTAAACTGTAGCAAAATTAAGTGAGTTCACCCTTCTCTGCCTTATTTGAAAAATCATCGGGCTGCAGATTGAGCTTTAAAATTCTAACATTCTAGGTGGGGAGGGTATAGCTGAATGGTAGAGCGCATGCTTAGCATGCACAAGGGTTCAATCCCTAGTACCTCCATTAAAATAAATGATTAAAAACCTACTTACCCCGTCCCAGTCAAAAAAAAATTAAAATTCTTAACATTCTAAATCCAGTATACAATTTAACATGCCCGCCTCAGCTTATTCCATTTCCCCCTTTCAGTAAAATGCCTATTTCTTAAGTCCTGCACTTAAGCACATCCACTCCAGCCCAGGGTCCACAATCGGGAACACTCACACAGAGATGCCAGTTTACCTCTCATTTTCATATGTTAACTTCAGGCAGAAAAGAGGGCTAGAAATGAAGCGCAGCCTTCCACGTGGGCAGGTCTGCCTCTGCTGTGGTAACTCTACAGCTGGAAGGCATCCATGTGAGACGGCGGAGTCCTGGCTATACCCTCAGAGGGGTCATTCCAAGCTGCCTTACATCTTCCAGGTGACACAAAACTAAAACCAAATGCCTAGAGACAAACCCAGTGCAGATTTTGTGCTCTAGCCTCTACGTAGTCAGAATACTGCCCTTCGGATAAGTTTTTCTAAGATTAAGTTTTAACGGTGAGAATGACTTCTCCCAGAAAGGAATACCATTTTTTAGGAGAACCAAGTGAAATACACAAACCAACCACTTCTTATGAAGTGAGAGGACAGAAAGTAGCAAGGAACCCACACAACATGGCTTAAGAACGAAGGAGCGCCGGACAGACAAGATGACTTTCCCATTCGGGGTCATTTTCTAAAATACTGTTTGATGGAAGCATGGAGTAGGGGGAGCAATGAAACAAACCACAAAACCCTCACACTCAGAAAGCCAGGAAAGGAAACCTCCTCTGACTTGCCCTAGGACAAATTAAGCAAATAAAGGAAAACCACTTAGCTACCCCAACCCTCCTTCTCAGAGCTCAACCAACAGCCAACTTCCCCTTCTGCCCTGGCGTTCTCTGTCCTCCCGCCCCAGTGCCACAAACAGCCATGACATCGCTAATGTGCTGCTTCATATACATATGCTCTGTGGCTAATTCCCTGCTTTTTCTGTCTCCCACCTCTACGTTTTCCTCTGATTCCCTAAAATATTAAAATTTGAGATTTTAAAAATCCAATCTACGTATTTTATAAACCATTACAAAACAGCCATTTTAGTGAACAGGAATGTGTCTATGTGTATGACTGAAACATTATGCTATACTCCAGAAAGTGACACAAAATTGTAAACTGACTGTACTTCAATTAAAAAACAAACCAAAAAAACATTTTATTGGGTCTCTGAACAGAAAATTAATAGTAAGCCTGTGAAATGTGAGTTCTCACTAAAAAGAACTAGACCAAATCTAAAATCCAGCCAGCGCCAATATCCGTGCTTCCCAGATTCACTACCTCTTCATTACAAGTTCTTAGCTGAGAGCCCTCCATCTGCCTGACCCCCGGGGTTTCATCCTCCCAAGGGCTTCAAGGCAGTTGGCACCTCAGCTGATCAGAGGCCAGAGGGAGCCATTGTGTTAAAATGAATGCTGACTGCAAGCACAGGCTGAAGACGAAAAGTTCACATCTACTCAGTTGTTGATAGCAGATCAAGAAAAGCCAAGAAAACTCCATTCTCTCATCACCAAACTTACTGAGGATTTTGTTTGTTTCAAATGTCCACTGATATGCAAGGGCCATCTAATATAGTCCTGTGTTTGAAAAATATATTAAATCTAAGGAGCTTTAAAATGTCGGAGAAGTCTCAACTCATCTTTTTTCCATCAAGAAAACAAAAGTTTAACTGGGATCCTCTTGCCTAAAAGGTCTACTGGTAAACCTATTGGTGGAATTTACATGGGTCCACTGTGTTAAGGCTGACATTTGGAACTTCCTCTCTGCACCTAATAGCAGACAGCTAACTGTTTCATGACCTCCACACTAGACTGTCATCTCCCTGGGGCAGGGGCGAGGGCTTTTTGGCACCTCATCCTGTATTTATGCATATGGTTGGACATTTGGTAGACAATGCAAATATTTGCTAATTTGTCTCTAAATTATTTTAAAGCAAATTTGAGTTGCTTAGTTTTCTTTTTAAAGAAAGAATGTTAAAATGTCCCCTTAACCTTTTTTTTTTAAACTAGGAAAGCAGAACAGACCTTAGTTGATAAATCAAGCAAAGAAAATTCCACTAAGTTCTTTACCGTCTGAATCACAAGGTAGGCTAACTAACTATAGGTGGAGGGAGGACCTCACTTTATTCTTCTCCATCTTCATTCTGTTCCCTATCCCTACTGCCTATCACAGCACAAAATGTTCAATAAACGGCTCACCGCAGTGAATCTGCGTAACATACGGGGTTAAAGAGTTCTGGCGTCTTGGTCATTTCTACCATCCGCTTTACTCCCCCCAACTAATTTTTCCTCAGCCTCCAAACCTTTTCTTTTCCAAACCTCCAAACATTCTGAGGACATCTGGAGATACTCCAGCTCAGGAGCTGACTGCGGACAGAACGTTAACCTCTTCTAAACCAAAAGCTGACACCACAAAGGAATAGATTTTCCTCCTTCAAGGTAAGGGTTCTTTCTGGCTAAAAGATCTTGGAGACTTCTTTTTTTCCATTCTTACGCAATTTTACTTCTAGCACTATGTAAAACTGGTATCTGGGCACAGCATTTGAGCAATGGATATGCAAATTAGAATGTTTATCCAAAAGATGTAACTAAACCATAGACTTTACCTCAACAGATTAGGGCTAAAATAAATTCACTTCAAACATTTTACTTCGCACTATTAATCTGAATTTGAATAACTTGTGCTAAGTTAAAATTTCAGTGATAGGATGTGTGCCCTGGTTCACTTCACTCAAACACCGTTTGTCAAAAGGAGCAGAAAAAGGAGTTTTCCCTTTGTTTAAAAAGACAAAGTACTTTGGTTATTCGAAAAAGCCATAGCTGAGGAACATTCTGTATAATTTGTGACTCACTCTCAAATGAGAAGTCACCACACCCCTAACTCTTCTTTGGTAGGTGGTAAATAATAAAATGTATTAGGACAGAAATTTAGTTTCAAAGTTTCTTACAATTTATAGGGAACAAATCTTTAAAAATTAATACTTGGTCTTCGACATTCTGAGCTTGTCTTCACTTTTTTATGGTTTGGATCTGAGGGAAAACCAACTGGGGCTGAGGAAGCATTAACCACCCCCCTCCAGACCTGTCTTCTTTACAGTCTTTAAAGCCAGTGTTCCCCAAAACCAAAAAAAGTCAGACAGTTCCAAGCCTTCCAGAAACTGTCTCATGACAGAAATGTCTTCTGTGCTGATTGGGTTGTGGGTCGTACAGGTGTGTACATTTTTCAAAACACAGCAAACTGTTCCCATCCCACTATTTCACTGTATGTCAATCATGGCTCAATAAAAAAGATTTTTTAAAACTTTCTACATGTCACATTTCAGGACCTGTCATCAGTAATCCACCTCAGACCTGAGTTTTTTGTGGGTCAACGAGATCCCAAAGCCAGAAAGGAATCTCCCTAAACAAAGGTCACTGACACCCCTGCCCCCAGTTCTCTGGAAACTTCCACCTCAAATCTTTCCTCACCCTGGAATTGACCCCGACGTGAAAGATTCCACTCACCTCGACGGACTGAGAAGGCATTTTCAGCTTAGTGAGCTTGGCTTTGGCAGGCACTTTTAAGTCTGTCTTTTCAAAGGTCTGCGGCCGGTAGTCCTCTGGCAGTGGTTTCAGTTCAGGAGACTCACTAGGAGCCTGATCTTGACCATCCATGGGCCGGACATAAGCCGTGGGCTTCTGCTGCATTGCAACGCTTTTTGAGGGGAGTGGGGGTGGGGGGAAGGTCTGAGAAGGCGGCTGGGGAGGGGCTACCCCAAGGCTGGCAACCGCCACTGAACTGTCTTGTGGGGTCTCTTTATCATGGCCCTTTCCCACCGGGTCCTTGGGAGATTTGGCCGGGCAGTAGCCTTTATTGTTACTGCTACTGCTGTGAACTTTGCTGCTTCCTTGTGTCCTGGGAAGAGTCTGCTGGTTGGAATGTACAGGTGACAAGGGGGGCACTGGGGAAGGCAGAGAGGAGAACAAAGGAGAAAGCGCCCTCTCTGGAGCGGAGTCTGTCATGGAAGCACAGTGGTCTCCGTCAGCCCTGCGGTCACCTTTTTTGGGATGACCAGAGCCGTACCCCTCCTGACCAAGGCGCTCCTGAGTCAGGTGCTGGCCATCCTGTGGGCCGTAGCTTTTGACGTGGAGACTCGGCATTGGTTCCATTCTTGGCTGCGCCATCTTTGGGTTGTGGCTAATGTTACCAACAGGAAGTGGTCCGGAGGCAGGAGTGTTAACAGGCTGGTGGTGGACACTAGAGTGGAAGGAGTGGGATGGAATGCTGCTCCCCTTCTCAGGAAATAAAGGATATCTCGGCTTTGCCAACCTATTTTCGGAAGCATCCAAGCGCTGAGGGTGGGACTTGGAACTAAGGAACTCCTTCACTTCTTCGTAGTTTCCCAACATGTTCTGTAATCGACTGGATAGCTCATCACCTTTATCTGTCTGCAAAAAGACAGCAGAGTTAGATACTAAGGGTGGAAAGGGGGAGGAAAACCACCGTTTAATAAGCCATGTTAAGTGATGTCATTAAAAAAGAAACACCTTGATTTAATGTGAAACACAGAATTTAACGTGCAGTTTTAACTCAATTCCCCTGTTCAAAAGCCTGTCATGGACAAATACTACCAAACACAGGAGACTAACATTACAAAAGAAAACCACAAACTTTGGTAATTTTGACTAGCAAGGTTCAGAGAATTTTCATATTGTTTTCAACAATTTCTAGGATAAATTATTCTATTTTCACAGTTGTGACCCTTGTTCAAATTCATTTTCATCCCAAAGTCAAATATGGTGATAAAATCAGACTCTCACGCATACAAGAAATACCTTGTAGGGCTCTCCAAAGAGCGGGACCTTTTCAGAAAATGTCTCTTTCTCTTGATGAGCTTCCTGGTTGCGTCTTTCCTTCTCTTTAATTCGAAGCAGGTTTCTGTCTTCATTGTACAAGCTGCTTCAGATGCCACAAAAGAACAAAAACAAAGTTTATCAGTATCCGGGCTTTGCTGTGCATATGCGCATGTGTGAGGGAGGCAAGGACAGCTCAAGCAGCAACAAGGAAGCTGAAGAAAGCGTAAATCCCTCAACCCATTCCCAGATTAAATTAAGGCCTCAGTCAACTGGCCATGACCCTCCAGCCTTGGGTCTTGGCTCTAGAAACCAAAATTTTCACTCTGGGCTACTGCCTTCATGACTCAGGACTGACTCCAAACGGGACAGTCTTTTATAGGTAGTGGTGGAACCAAGACAAGATTTATAATATTTTTACTTCCAGCTTGCAAAACACAGGGTAGAGGTAGAAGCTTTTCATCTGAAGGAGTCAGCAGGATGTGAACTGTGAAAAAGCTGTTTTCCTGGATCAGTACTGTACATTTTAGAAGATTAAAATCAAAAGGCTTATTTCATAATTAAAAGATTACCAGGCACCCAAAACAGCATTTACTTTATTTTCTGCCCACTCCACTGGGAGTGTCTTGGCATGTAAACCTGAAAAGATAATTTGTATTTCTCATTTCAGGTGTCAAGGATGGGAAAATCCAATTTTAGATACCAGCTTTATCTACTGAGAAACCTATAATCTACTCAAACAATATAAAAATGTATCCTAAATCATCAGCCCTGGCACCAAAGGAGTTAAAAATCCATCTACTGTCAAACAAATCACAAAGATGGAAACCCAAGAGCCCAGTTTTAGATATAAACTAAAAGTGGGCCTGCCTGAGGTCAGCAACTTGGGCCACGGCCTCCCAACCCCAACATGTGACATGCAAGAATAAGGAAAATAAGAAACATAAGTCAACTTTTGTCCTCATAGACTTGCTTTAGGGTATCTACTGAATCCCTCCCCCCAACGTCACCACAACGTTATTTGAATAAATAAGAAAACATTCAACTGCCTTTCCAAGAATGTGTACCTTCAGAGAGTCCAGCCTTGATGTCGGACACCCTCCTTCACTCCTTTCCTGGCCTCTCTCCTCTCTCAGGACTTCTCTGATTTCCTCTGACAAAAGCCTGCCTGCTGGTCTCCTGCCCCTCACCCCCAAGTCTTGTCCCTATAATTTAGCATTCTTATGGAAGGAAATCTGATCTAGGGCTCTGGTTTTCAGGTTACTATATCCATACTCTAAAATAACAAGCGTTCGATGGCTCTTTATTGCTGCAGAATAAACTCTAAATCCGTGCTTTGGCATTAAAATTCCCCCATAATCTAGTGCAGATCTACCCTAGAAATTACCTGTCTCCCCACAGACCTACTACATGCCTTCTAACAGTCATGTCCATGCCCCGAACATCTGTGAAGGGCAGCCTCTTGCTCCAATCCCCCAACCGTAGAACCCTTTTACTGAAAGATAACCAATTCTTCCAGGACCAGTTGACCTACAAAGTTCAATGCTTCTGCAAACCACCTCTATATTCCAGGCACACCAGGTGACTCCCTGCTCCCTGGTGATATCCTGGACTTGGATACTTTCATTCTAGTCCCACAAATTTCCTCTGCCTCTCTCAACCACATACCTCTATCCCCACTTTTCAACTACCAGCACATCTCGGGTGATTCCAACTGCACCCACTTCCTCAAAGCTACCAAGTATGTGCTGATTTAACATACTGATTGGTTCTCTCGCCTTCTCCCCTTTCCTCTTGAATGTGAACCCCATCATAATAGAACCTCTCATATTTTTATCCTGGTGCTAATGCATGGTATTTTGAATAGACTCTAAACATTTAAGTTTTTTAATTAAAAAAACAGCCACTATCTTACAGTCTATCTTTATGAATTTACATGTAACTTTTTTAAAAACTTAACTCCAGAATGCACATGCAAAAACAGTTTTTAAACTGTTAAAATCTGTAATCATCTAAAAAATGATTGTCTGCTATTTCCATAACCTTTCAATCTACAGGTTGAGGGCGGGGGTAGTTAACCCACTTGGCTGAATTCACTGGGAAGTAGTAAAGAATAATCTGCTTAGACTGTTGTATCAAAAACTTTCCCTAGACGATGGATGTCTTGGTATCAGATTTCAAGAGAACTACAAAGTGAACACTTAAATTAGTCGACATACTGGCTCTTCTATGGAGTCTTCTTTAATAACAGAGTCTGAATTGCACACGTCTCGGACATTAGACTTACTTCTGGTTGACAGCAGCACAGTGGTGACCACTCAAGAATTCCTTTCTATTGTTTTATGATTTTGGTAGTTCTTGTTGGCTCAAAAAAAAAAAAAAGCCACGTAGCATTAACATCCAACCATGAGAGCCAAGTAAGAGGGTTGAGCAAGAAGTAACTTTTTTCCTTCAACCGCCACTTTGCTTGCAGGAGGGGTAGGTCATACAACTGTCTTCTAAGCAACTTGAACTCTCAAGCTTCTCTTCCCCAGAGCTACCTGGTACAGGCAACCCGCGCAGAAGGGGAAGCAGCTTTGCAAGGGCATCTGCCTTGCTAGGCTCACCACAGGGGGGCTGTCCCTTGTCGATTCTGCTGGTTACAACAGTGGGGCCTCTGCAGCTTGACTGGCTTATGAGCACTCATGGCCTGTGGCTCTGCTTTAAGAGGCAGAGCTCTGCCCGCTTCTGAGAAATTGCTACCTCTGTCTCAGAAAATGGAACCCAAATGGCAAAATCCTCAGTCACGTGAAAAGTGAGCATGTGTAACCGTAGCACCTCAACTGTCAGACTGCTCGAGGTCCTCGCTTAATTTTCCTGTCAACAATACACGTATCTTTAAGAAAAGCTACATTGGTTTAAAATTACTAAAGTATTTCTAAAGCAATCAGCTCAGCTTCAGCTCAGCATCAATTAGGTTTCATCACACTTCTAGATTTTCATTCCAAAATAATAAAAGCTGCTACAGAAATAACTCAATTTTACAAAATTCCAAACACTGGCTTATGGCTATGTGATTCAAAAACTGAAGGGCGGGCCTCCCACCAGGAGGAAATTCTACTAAATTAAGGATTCTGCTTAATTAAATGTTTTACCACATTAGTTTTTTTAAAAAAAAGTTAAGTAGCCACACCCAGATGTTATTGGCAGGCACGTGTAATACCATTCCAACTCTGACATGAGCTTTGAATCTATTTTTTTTTTTCTTATCCACCATCACCCTTCAACTGAAAAACCCACAAGTAGTGAGGACAGGAAAAAAATCACAAGTGTCACTGGTAGGATGTTTTATGAGGTCTAGACTTAGTACTAGAGAGAAACTCACTCTCACCCACACTGTCTGCTGGGCAACTCCCTCCTGGGCCTTGCTCACCAAGGCTCCTGGGCAGGGCAGAGGAAGGCAGGAGAGACAGGAAGTGACCAGTCCAAGTCCCAGGACAGCACAGGGTAAGCCGGGAGCTCTCATTCTTCTGGGCTGTCTACCTTCTCCTTGTAACTAATTGGGTTTTGCCAGCCATATGGGGTAGCTTTCTGGTTTCTTAAGCTTTTTTTTTTTTCAATTTTGGGGGGAAGTAATTATTTCTTTTTTAATCGAGGTACTGGGGATTGAACCCAGGACCTCATGCATGCTAAGCTAAGCTATACCCTCCCCCTCTAGCTTTTACTTATTAAGTTTGCAATGGCTTAAGGAATGGTTTGTTAAAGTGTCAGGTAAATCTTTTCATGAATATTTTCTTTTTCTTGGTTCCATTTTGAAATCGGGGGAAGTTTACATTTAAAAAAACATTAACACAATTAGTAACAGGAGTAAGCCATTGTTCAGACTCTTACATACACATCATTGTTTTTAAACTAAGGTGCAAGGAAGGAGAGGGTGGGTGGAAGAATTTTAAATGAGGGGATTTTAGGAAGCAATAAATGTCCTACGCGACTAATAAACTCTGTAATTACTTTTGAATAATTACAAGCTGACTACCACTTCATTTAATTAAAGGTAGCAGTTCTTCCTCTGGTATGAAGGGAAAACGCTTTCTCGCTCTCACAGGATAACCTCATCCCAACATCAGTTCCGTCACACTTTGTCACTGTTCACACAGAGTGGGTTACAGCTGGCCCTCCGTATCCGGAGACAGGGAACGCGCAGATGTGGGGGGCCCACTGCACCAGGCCATTTCCCATGAGGGACTTGAGCATCCTGGAACCCACCTACCATGGACACCAAGGGACGACTGTACAAGTCCTCCTTCACTGATCTCTCCACAGCTCTCTGCATTAGGAAAGAGGTTCTCAAGCTTCTGTGAGCATCAGAAGCACCTAGAGGACTTGCTCAAACACAGATCGCAGAGACCTGCCCCCTCCCCCAAGAGTTTCTGATTCAATCATTCTGATGTGGCACCAGAGACATATGCATGTTGAGCAAGTTTCTAGGTGGTTCTGAAGAGCACAAGGGAGCACAGTCTTTGGGGGCTGCATGGATTGCTTTAGGCTGTACCAGTAATGACAGCAAGGGTGAGAGGAGTGGAGCCAAGGATGGCTCCCACTTAGCACCTGCTCCCCGGGGGGCACCGCTTTAGACGCAGCACATTGGTCTCCTATTTAATGCTCACAACGACTCTGAGAGAGGAAGAATACGAACTCCATTTCCCAGGTGAGAAAATAAGGCTCAGAGATTAATTTACCAGGAAATGGTAGGCCTGCAAATTCAAACACAGGTCTGCCTGGCACCAAAACTGGTGTTCTGAATCACAGTTTGGCCGGTAAAGCTCTCAGGCTGTATTAAGTAGGGCAGACAAAGGTGTGCTGGAGTGTGCTCATCCGCAATGGCTCATAATTCCTTAGTCTCAAACCATCCAGGTATAGTATCCCTGCCAGCAGAGCACCTCAGAGCCATAAACTACCTGTCTGGTTAAATGTACCCACACAGATCTGTCCCTGCCTAAGGACCCCTCTGAGAGAGAGATGGCTGACAACATGAAGTTGCTTGTCAAGTTATAAAAACTCTGCTACAATATTTTAGAGCCCGTTTTAAATTTACAGATTTGAGGTCACTGACCCTATAACAACCTCTGGATTCACAAGTCATCTCTAATGTGTTAAGGGGCCCTTCATATTCATTTCTTTCAAGAACAGGCTGTAAATAAACTTGCACCGAAGTGGCCATTACCCAGTAACTTCTGGCCGGCTGACCTCAGGCCATGCTCCTAGGGCCTCAGTGCTGGCTTTCTGGTCAGCCCAGGAGCCCCCATCTGGGGGGAGAAAACAAGTCACATGGTGATTTGAAGCAGCTGACTGGATACACAAACAAGTCCACGTGCTGAAGTGCCCCTGGGGGGAGGGTGCAAAGTCTGACCATCTGACCACCCAGCAGACATCCATGAATTCCACCAAAAGTTTGCAGACATATTTTTAGATAGGGAATAACTTTACTTTGCAGTAGCCAAGCTCTTGCTTTTGGATCATAGGCCACTATCTGCAAGGCACGACGCTGATGCCTCAGAAAGATCTCTGCAAAATGCATCAAACCACCTTCTCTACCACTTTTTTTTTTAATTAAGTGAACTAGAAAGACGTAATGGGGGAAACCACAGGCTTCAATTTCCAGTGCCTGGTGAGAGAGCGGCGACATGTGAGACTCACCAGCCATTACTAAGGTGGGCTGCACCACAGATGTTCTCACTGACAGAATCTGTTCCCTCCCCCTCCAACCGCGTCCCCAGTCAGCGTGGGGGCCTAAGCGAAGGCTGGAGAGTGGCTGGAGAGCGACAACAGGCCAGGCCAGGGTGCGCTTGCTTTGAGAAAGGTGGTGAAACTCCCAAGGAATTCAGAGCCGCCAGCCCGGTAGGCCCTGAATGCAGTCATTCAGCCAGCCCCCATGCTGGGGCCTGTCAGGGCACATTTACTCCCACTGTTCAAGGGCTGCTCCTTGGGGGGTAGGGGACCATGTGTTAAAACACTGTGATGAAATTTAAGAAGACTAGTTAGTGTGATTCCCCCTTTTTCTCTTTCCCTTGCACTAAAATAAGAAAGAGCACACGTGGAAGGAGGGAAGGGCAGGCCGGAGTTGGGCTTGGGACGTGGGCTGCAAGCACCTTCGCCGGCCAGAGCCCACGGGCCCTGCTGCTAATCTAGGTTAGTCATGCAGGATCGCTGAATGCCACTGGGCGCTTCCATGGCAACCCGGCCCACGGGGCAGGCTGTGCACAGCTGACTACCCATTTATCACCCTTGACTGGTCACTTCGCACAGACCTTCCTCTGATGGATGTGACCAACTCACATTTAAAAGTTTAATTCTCCCTTGGAGGATACAGTGCAATTTCTCTTGTGTATTTATCTTCATAGGTGTGGAAGAGACATTTGGCGGAAGGAAGGGGGAAATCCTGAAATCAACAGGGTGCATTAATTCTCAAAAAGAACGAGGCTTTTCACTGTTTTAGAAGCACTATGCCATCCTGATTTGAATGTACAAAGGACAGAGCAAAACATAAAACTCACAAGCCTATTCACAAAAGACAGGCAACTCTGGCTTAAGAGAGTGGTGATATATGTGTCACAAAGTGACAGAGGCAAAAGGACAGCAGGCTTGGGTGCTCACTTGTGCAAGTGACTTTTTTAGTTTGGAAGCCACCGCTGTTTTAAGTCCATCTTCTGGCCCTTTGTTTCCATATCCTCTATTCCTACAATTCAGGGATTGGAGAACATTTTTCACATTGGTTTTATGAAAAAAAGTCAATATGCTTCAAAGCACCATATTTTTTTTGTCATTAAACTGTATCACTCACAAATGCATTTAAATATGAGACATCAAAGTGGCTCCACGGTGGAAGGCAGAAGAAATGTTGCTTCAAAGAATGGAGAAAGTTTTCCTCTCCCGCTTTGCGCATGTCAAAGAATTCACAACATACTTTCTCATAATAAAAATCACTCAGCTAAATCTTCCAAGGACTTCACCTTCACTACCCCCTGCACCACTTACACACACCACACACATGAAGAAAAAAATCAGAGACTTAATCCCAAAACAAAATCTCATTTTATATAAAAAAAATAAATGTCAGCCAAGCAAAAGGACAAAATAGCATTATGTCACAAATGTTTTTCCTCGAGGAGCTCCCAAGGGACCATCTCAAACTAACAGCTCTCTCTGCTACTCTCTTCTGCTCGCTGCAAAATGCACAGCCTCATCAAAACACTGAAATAGTTGTATGTGATGCCATTTTGAAAATTAAATCCATCTTTTAAGATTTTTTTTTATATGTTAAGGGCATACACACTATGAGTTTTCAAGCAAGACAGTACCTACCTGGCCAAACTTGGCGGAGGCACGGGGAGTTACTTCAATTCTAAGGAGAGACGTGTTACTTTTAATTTATCTTTCCAAATGAATCTACCAGGTGCCTCTGCAGGCCTGTTAACATAGACCAAAGGTCTGAGAGGATACACTTTACAAAAATCTATCAAGAAGGAACCCCAGACTAGGGTGGAGGAGGTAGGTGGTTTAGGGAAGATCTTGCTTTAACATTCTGTTTTAAACATGCTTTTTCACAAGGAAGTATTCATTCATTATTTGTATAGTTAAAATTTCTAATTAAAACCAAAAGCAGCAGCCTCAGACACATATAACATCAAAATGAGGGGTAAAGAAATACTGCTGTGTTGATAATTTTGGCAGTTAACTCTCATTAGAACCACTGAAAACTGATTCTGGACCCTGGACTCAGCCTTTGACAGTCACTAAATAATAATTACAGACCCATCTTCATAAAACCAACTTGAAGGCTGTGTTCCAAAGTTCACACCAGCAGCTGCTGTTTTTTAACTGAAGTAGTCTCATTATAACCCATTTTGTTCTTCTTAATAAGTCATATAAATGTATCTTGAGGGGCATTTTTTTTACCCTATAGATGGAAAATCACAAGAACTTGTCTTGCTCATTAACTGGTCTTAAAGGGGGTGTGGGGGTAAGGGGGAAATCGTCAGCAGGGGGGGGGCGCAGTGGGGATACACAGCTCTAACAAAAGTAGGATGAGGAAAAGGAGACAGATGAGCTAATGCGTCCCTGTGTGCCGTACACCAGGTCCCGGATCTTCCAAACACATTTTAAAAATAAGAAACTAGTTCTGACAGAGGAAGGCCTTGGTGCCAGTGACACAATTACACAAACCACACCAGGGAGAAGAAATCATTCCTAATTTCGAAGATCTGATGATAGCTAGCAGTTAATCAACTATTTGTTTTTAATGTTATTTGAAGTGAGAACGTATTAACGTTACTGACAAATTCCAGAAAACTTGGTCTGAGAAGGGTTCCCTAAAAATGCAGACAGGACTTAACTGCAGTTTATTGAAAGGACATACAGAAATTACTCCCTATAGTGGCAACAGGCTCACTGGGGCTAAATCTGACACCTGACTAGTTATTTATGTTTATGTCCCCTTTAGTTAGAAGGATCCCTGGTGATCCAGAGCCACCTCTGCCTGCCTGCTTGTGGGCACTGCGCATTTGGCACCCATCAGAAACATGGGTAGAAGCTTCCCCTGCAAGTCTGGTCTGTGCTAGGATCAGCCAGAGCTCTGGCCTCATTCCCAGGGCATTCTGCTTACACACTCAACTGACCATGAAGGACCACATCACATACCTATAAAATAATGAGGCTGCTGAAAGTCTGTATCATTACAGCTACAAATTAAAAGAATGCTGCGGTCACAAACTAAGGAAGAATGCAGACAAGCAAGCCTTAAGTTTTGTTTTTTTAATGCTCACCTCATTTAATTCATACTCAACTTAAAAAAAAAAAGTCTAGGGCATTAAATCAATTAAGCATCCAAAATTGAAATGAAGTGTTGTGTGGACTTCCTCCCTTCTTGTCATCCTGGGCTACCTAGCTCCACAAAGCTGCCTCTCTCTAAAAAGCATGCGTCTGATCCTGTTACTCACCCATCTGATAAACTCTCTGAGCCCCCTGCTGCCTACAGGATTAAAGCTGACGGGTGACTGTGCAAGCAACCCTTTTCCACCTGGCTTCCACTTACCTCTCAGTCCTCACAGAGGACCCTTTTCCGCTCACTGCCTCCCCGTTCAACCCTGAGCACAAGGAACTGGGAGGCTGGAGAAACAGCCCTCCTCTCTCTGCCAGTTCCCTAATGAACTCCTAACTTGACTTAACTCCTAACATGACTTTCAAAGCCTTCCAAAACATCCCTGCCTCCACTCTCACCTCCCATCTCCTGCTGTGAATGATTTCTTTCTCGTGAAACATTCTTCTTGCCAATCTGCCCATGTTTACATTTACAAAAATAAGACTGTACGAGCCTACAGATGTCCTTTATTAGACTGTGAGCTCCTTAAGGGCAAGGACTATTTCTGAGTGCTTAGCAAAAAGTGGTACTTAACACATCTTTGACTAAAACAATTATATTCCAGCCTTACTCAATTGCAAACAACCCAGAATTCCGCCGAATCCTGCCAGTCTCCTTTTACTATTTGATGACAAATATGATTCATTGTCTGATGCCTAAAACCGATTTTACCAGACTGTTGTACGCATCAAGTGACTCAAACCTGGAAGGAAGCTGACATCGTTCTTTTCCAGATCAGCCGTGCAAGCCACCTCAACTCACAGAGCACGTTTATCAGTTAATGTTATAGGTTTTATTCTTCAACTAGTCATAAAAGTCCAACTATACTACATCAAAGGAAAAAAAAAGTTTGGCAACACTTAGAGCAAACACAATTTTAAATTAACAAGATTCAAAATACTAATAAGGTGTCTCTAGGACTAAAACTTCAGCAACAACACTCCCACAATGAAAAATTCTCTCAGAAAACACACGATCTAGGAGGATTTTAAAATGCAAATCAGATTATGTGGCCCCTTCCACTGAGGAAAGCCCTCCACCTCCAAAGGCTCCCTCAGCGTCCAAGATTCCCATCCAGACGCCTGGCCAGGAGGTTCCTTCCTCACTTCCTCTCCACTGCTGCCTCCCGCATCCGTTCCCCTCCAGTGTGGCCTTCTCATGCCTGCTCGAGCTGTGTACTGCTGAGCCCCGCCTGGATACTGTGTCCCTAAAGACGAGGACAACGTTGTCACCAGTATCTCCGGTTAAGTAGCAGCTTCTCATCGAGGTCCCATCTGAATGGCCACTCTGCCCCACCCCCACCCCGGGCTTTCCAGCACTTCACTCTGCTCTCTCTCTTTTTATCACTATCTAACATGGTCTTGTCTGTTCATTTATCTGTTTAATTATGTTTGGGTCCCCACCCTTACCTCCAGGAAGAATGTAAGCTCTGTAGAAGGTCAGTCACCATTCCTCTCTTCCTCCTCACTATGTACCCAGCACTAACCTATTAGGCTAAATGAGTATTAGTTGCGTGGATGGAATTCTGCATACAGCTGCAGACATAATAGTAGTTTTTTTTTAATTAAAAAAAATCATACACACCAAATATGCCACACTGATGAGGGATGTTGAGGGTAGGGAAGTATACATGTGTGGGTGGGGAGGGCTATGTGGGAACTCCGTGTTTTCTGCTCAATTCTGTTGTGAACCTGAAACTGCTCTAAAAGAATAAAGTCTATTAAAAAAACATACAATTTGAAGTTAACAGAAGCATTTTCAAAAGACAATCTTTTTTTTTAACTAAGCAGTTATGGATAGCATCCTCTGATTAATACATCAAATTTTCAATCACCACATAGAAAGCAAGCGAAAAAACAGTCATTTCCAAAAGCATCTTGTATCTCATGAAACTGCTAAAATGTCCCTAAGTGGATTTTTAAAAGCAACTCTTTTCTCAAATTATACAGGAGCAGTTTTGTGTTGTTGTTTTAAAGAAAAGACTAAATCTAGTCATAAGAGATCAAACATACTAAGTGGCTATTTTTTAATCACTCAACAGCTTAAACATCAGATAATTTCCAACACACACCAAACTGAACAAACTATACTCTATAGAACAGCTTGGAAAACTGTACAGGATTTACCATTTCAAAAGGAAGAGTCCCTCCCAATGACTGAACTTCTAACACACATTCCAGAAAACCAATTGCACCACATACGATAAGAAGAACTGTTTGAAACCGGGCCAATGTACCAAATCCAGCTCCAGCCAGAACAAATGCTCAGCATTTAGACTTGCTAACCAACTGCAAAAAGCAACAGGAAAAGGCTTACACTTGGAAAATGAAAGGAAAAGCAATGTCTGTGTATTGATAAGAACAGTGGGAACAATGGGATAATAAGGATACTGGCAGGATGCGATTTATTTCCCTAAAGAAGAAAATATTAAGAAACATTTATTCTTTAAATGAGTACAGAGAGATCCAACACATTTTTCAGTTAATGAACAAACCCCGGCAAATGGCAGGGCTCCTCCTCTACCTGCTTAATGAAGCTCAATCCACAAAGGAAGAGAGGATCTAAAACTGAACTCAAGGATCCTCCCATTCCCCAATCAACACACAACTTGCAGGAGTAGAAATAATCGCCATTTGTGTTTTAAACCTAGTTGAACGGGCTGCTGTGGACATACGTATGAAGAGACAAACTTCCTAGGACTGAAACAAGTTTGCAGGCTCGAACAATCGCATGGAACAAAACCACACAGATATCGAATCTTCCCTGCGATTTACACAAAGGAGAACAAAAACCTAAGAATAAAGTGTTTCTGTAAGTGTTTCTACAGAACCATCAGCGTTTTCCTTTACATCTTGACTTACAGTTCTCTCTCCTTTTGGTTAACTGCACATGCCACATTTGTTTTTCACAGAAAGAAAGCTCCGTGTCATAAAAACTAGAGCCAGTCTCATTATTCCCTTTCATTCCACAGAAAACTCGAGTAGGAAGAACAGGGCGAGTATTATAGGAGAAGAAAGCTGGAAACATGCATTGGTGTTTTATATGGCAACAAGCAACAATTACACGTTTCTAAATATTCTCATTTCATCATAACCCCGGCTCACCTCCTACCACCCGCTGTAACTGGCCTGGCCTTAAAGCTGAACAGTAAGTCATTGTGTTTCTGGAGAAGTCTCCCTTCATTTTGACCTCTGCTGAGCAGTGTTATGAGCCTTACAAAGCTTGTCAGGATTCTTTGGGCTGGATTTTGGCCCAGCCGTGAACATTTATATGCAGAATCTATCATTCTTTTTCCCCATCACTGCCAACAGGCAGTTCACTTGCATAAAACAAAGGGTATTTATCAAACTTAATAAAGCACCCTTCCCCTTCTTCAATGCTAGTAAGCTAGAATCGGAGAGCTCAATTACGTGAAAAGGAAAAGCAGCACACTTCAGGATTCTGCAGATTATGCCCTTTAGAATGCTTCAGAATTTCCATTTTTACCTCTCTCTTCAAAAAGCAGAGGCTAATATATCCATTGTAAGGAAATGATAAGGAAACATTCAAAATTATCAAATACACTGTTAACTTACATTAAACAAGGCCTCTGATTGTTAAGAATTTTCTTCAAACAGAACGGCATTTTAAATATTATTTACGCCACTCAAAGTTATTTAAGAGCGCTGCTGCACTCATCTCTGGTTTTCTGCAGTCCGACTCAAGATCTTAACCCGAAGAACGGGAACAGGAGATGCTTCCAGTCAACCCTGACCCCTTTGTGCTAGACCCAGCAACAAAAGAAGTAAAGATACAACCTAGTGGGAGAAATAAAAGGGGGGGACCACTACGAGTGACTACAGAGGTCGGTTACAAGTGCTCAAGAATCAGAGGAGAACACCAGGCTACATGGAGGGGCCTTGGATCTAATTTAATTAAAAGCAGTGCCACCTGAGCTGGCAGGCTGGGCAGAAGTCTGGTAGAGCGGAAGGGACCCCCACACCCGTGCTGAGCAAGGGATCCTTGGCCGTGGGTATCTGCACCCATCTCGCCTCGTTCCCCACCCACAACTCCTCGTAGAACGGATCCAAAGAACCCTGGGGTATTTGTGGGGGTGACAGCTTTTTGCAGCCATCCACTCTGAGAGGCTGGCCTAGGCCTCAACGGTCTTTCTTGGGGACAGTCCCCGGATAACGGCGTGTGGGCTTTCCTCAGCCTGAAACAATCATCTCAAATACCCCACACACCAAAAACTGTCCATTTTAGAAAATGAATGGGGTGGGGGTGTCAAAGTTTAGAATGCAAATGGACTTGACAGTGGCCACAGACAATCACAAGAGCAAAGCGGATGACTCCTCCCACACCCTCCTTCCCTGCTGCGTGGAGGGCAGCCCCAGGGCCCGAGCGCACAGCCCGCTACAGAGTCTCTCCATGCAGTCCGCCTTGACTGCCTAATTCAAGTGTTTCACACTGTTTTCAAGACCTCCAATGTATCATTCTGTTTGCTGAGCCAGCAGTCACAATTCCAGAACTGAAAAAGTTAAGCAGTAAATTTAAAAGGAACGTTTAATTGAATATCTCCACCTGAAACTGTGCCTTAACTTCCCGACATGATTGGGCCAGAAACTTCAGAGTTGTGAGTAAAATTAGTTAGAGAATAAGGCTACCAGTGCCAAAGAAGGGGAAAAAAATTTTTTTTAACATTCTTATTTGACTTAACATTGATCAACATTCACGCTTCCACCTGTAAATGTGCACTGAACAAAGTTAGCAGAAACTAAAAGAGGGACGGGAACAGGGGTTGGCCAGCTATGGCCTATGGGCCAAGTCTGGCCCAGCTGCCTGTTTTTGTGAACACTGATTCGAACACAACCGTGCCCGTTTGTTTACATACTGTCCACGGATGCCGCAGCCCTAAGACAGCAGAGGTGAGGAGCTGCCAAGTTGAGTGGTGGCAGCGAAGAATGGAAAGATATACAAAATCTCTACTCTTATCTCTAATTATCCAATTTTAATGCCTTACTCTCTTATTCCAAAAGATCTGGATAATGCAGTGTGTGGCGAGACATGTCCTAAGCTGCCAAGCCTTCGGGTTCCAGCGCCACCCACAACGTGCCACTCACACTAGGATGCTATCCGCCATCTCCAGGACTCAGCTTCCCCATCTCAATACCTTGTCTGGCCTAACAGTCAAAAGCTCAAAGAGTTGCAAAAAAAAAAAAAAAAAAGTGTGCTGGTGGAAGTCGGGGAGATGCATGAAGCATAAAAACCATGCCAGTCACTGGTTCCAGCTGCATCTTCAACAGAATAATCGCCTTCACACTACAACTCTTAACAATTTTACGATGAAATAAATGGAAAAGGACAGGATGTAAGGGAGATGGCAGAGCAAAAGAAAAAACATTAGGGGAAGCTCTGGGATTAAAAACTCCCAAGGCACAGTGAGTCCATCCAACTTCCCTGAGCTATCTACTCCAGCAGGCGGGTGTGGTTTTTGGAAAATATGAAGAATTAGGCCAGTGGCTGCTATTAAAGGTCGGAACTCACTGTTCCTCAATGTCCTGGTTCTTTAGAAGTCTGGTGGGAAACTGCACCACTAGATTTGAGTACCTTTATTTAAATAAAAGAACAGCTGTTAGGTTGATGGTAAAAGGCAACTGGTTCACAGCCTTGATAAATTAAGCTGAGATCTTCCAATGGAGGTACAGTGAACCTCTTATTTCATGTCTTATTCCTTTGAATTTAAAACCTCCTAGGGGATCTCCCAGGAATTGAGGCTGCTACCCTCACCTCTGCTCTCAGGGGGACGCTGCCTCCCTCACAACTCTGGCCCAATCACAGACTCAACTGTTTCCTTACACTCAAATGGCTGAGACATAACTGGAATGTTCACATTAAACTTTACCAAAAGCTGGAGGATAACAGAACAGAAATAAGCAGGTAACATGCAACCAAATAATTTGATTGACAATTTACAACTTTTCTCGATTCAGCTTGGAGCCCTGGATTATGTATAGAACCACCGCCAGGGAAGACATGCCATCACCCCCAGACTTCTCTCATCCTGCCCAAGAGGGAGGCTCTGAGAGCCCTGCGCCCACCCACATGGGATGACAGAAGTCACCTAAGCTTACCTCTTTCGGGAGAGCCCCCACCTTCCTACCCATGACTATCACGCATAACCCTGGAAGCACACAACCCAGTCAGCCAAGCATTCATTCCTCTAACTCACACACCCTTAACAAAGGAGCAAGGGGTGGGTTACTTACACTCTGTTCCAAGCATTTTATTGTTACCCCAAAACAGGGAGGTCTTAAAGAATGGGTGGGGCCTGTAGTCCTCGCAAAGCGTCTTCACTAGGGCAAGGGCTAACTCAAACCAAAAAACTGTATCTTTAATGATTCTAGAGTCAGACTCAAATGTTCTAAGTACTCTGTAAAGAAGAATTTGCTTATTTTAAGGAAAGCAGTCACCATATCCCTAGTTATGGACACAGAAGAAATTTCAGTTTCATCAGTCATGGCAGAAGTCATTTTAAAACAATATTCAATGTATCTTAGAAGGTGCTAAAATGCCAGAAACTTAATACAGCAATCCAAGAGAATTCTTAGCAAGAGAAATCTAGGTAAAGAAAAATGTACCTTAACCAATGGTTTTAGTCTGAGACCTCTATAAACTAAGTAAATAATCTCTACAAAATGAGACACTATCAAGCACATACAACTCATCCTACAATTAAAAAAAAAAGAAAGAAATGACACCCTGGAAGGAGGAAAAATAAAACAGAAGAATGTCTGTTTACTCATCTTCTAATCATCCTCCCACATACACACCAAAAAAATAGCCCTAAGATTAGTTCTATAACTTATTCATAGTTTGAGTTACACAGACGTATGCCTTGTCAAAACATACCAGTGCACTCAAGGTTTGTACATTTTGAGGCATAGAAATTTTATAGCAGAAGGGGAAGGGGGGGTCACTGTAAATAAATACTTGAACATCAGTTAATGGCATACAAGCCTAAGTATTTAGGGGGAAGTACACTGATATCTGCAAATGATATAAAAAGCACAAAAGGCAGACTGCTGGACAGTTTCAGAGACGAAGAGATGAAGAGATACATGGTAACGCAAGTTCAATAAAGTGTTAACAATATAATCTGGGAATAAGGCTTTTTACTGCGGAATTCTTTCAACTCTTCTGATGGTTTGGAAATGTTCACATTACAACATTAAGAAAAACCACAAGAATAAACTAGTAAATACGATAGGAGCTGAGAGGCTGCCCCATGCTGGGAGCTCCCACATCTTTCCCTCAGACATATTCAGAGACTTCTGGTGAAATCTGAATTTTTATCAGAAAGGGAGAACTTGGAAGCACAAATTCACCCATCCAATAGCATGGTGGACCTTTGGAAGGAAAGGAAGGAACTAAGAGTGGCCCTGAACTTGTGAGACACATGATCACATCTGCTGTGAGCGTAACTGAAACAGCTTGATCGTCTGCGTGCATGGTGCGCATGAGTGGTCTCTGCACGAGCACACTGAGCAAAACCTTACCTCACTCCTTCAACGTCTTGCTCTAGCTTCTGCTTTTTGCTCTATTGAGAAACTACAAGCCATCAGGCAGAGATACATACACACATTTGCAGGAGTCAGTTTCAGGCTCCCATCTGCAAAGCTTTCAGGGTAATCGCCTTAGCAACCGCCGTGAAGACTTAATTCACCTTTTCCTCCTCCTTCCCTTCCCCATCTTCAACTTGGAAAAAAAAAAAAGTTTTTCCCTATTTGAGAACTAGGTTGTTTGTGAGGTTTTGGAAAATTAATCTTCTTTGATTCTTGTCCTATTTCTTCATGTACTGATTTAGTGCCTATAAAGGAAGCACCAGAATCACATTTCCTTCTTCATATTTCAAAGTGTTTTTCCTGCAAGCCTTCCCTACAAAAGTACCAAGCAAGAAAGCTTTGGGCTTTAAGGAGGGCCTAATTCTATGGTTCCGTTTTCCCTAGTTTGAGCTACATCTGATATCTAACATACAAAAGGCCCAGATTTTAGAAATGCATTTTACACAAGTAAATCTGTAATACAATAGGTGGTTACCTTATACCTACCAATCTCCGTTTCTGCATAATTTTTTCCCTCAAACTAGTTCAAAATGCTGCTGCAATCAACCTCTTCCCTGGCAGGTATGTTGAGGCCCACCTCACTCAGGGTTCTCTCCTTGCTCCTTTAGAAAGCTCGCCCTCATTCTCTGCTAATGCGCCCTCGCCACCTCCGACCCCTCGACCACCTCCTGCTACTGAGCAGCTGGATGGCCACTCAAGGTCTCCAAATGGAGACCTTCTTTGGTTGAATCTGGAGAAGGCAGAGAGGAGGCTGAGCAATATAGGGCAGGGTGGAGCATGCTGGTTACCAGCATACTGAGCTGGGTAAGAGCATGGTCTCTGGAGTTAGCAAGGGGTCAAACTGGGCTCTGCCACTTGCCAGCTGTGATCCTCTGGGCAAGTCATTTAACCTGAGTCTCAGTTACATCAGCCATAAAGGGGGGGGTGTGCTAATAATAGCCCCAAGTCCCTAAGATTAATATGAGGATTAAGTGAGCTAATGACTGCTAAAGTGCACAGTCAACAGAGCACTGAAGTGGGTAAGCAAGAAGTCTAAAAATGCCCCCCAGATGCAACTCCAGCCCTAAAAACTATACCCAGCTCTTCACCCGCTCAGGTTTGACACTCTCCTAATTCACAGCTTGTATCCATTCAAGCTGGTGCCCACGCCACGGCCCTTCTGCTTCAACAAATCCTTCCCTCACCACACTCAGAAGTGTTTCTTCCATTTTCTGAGTTTCTATGAGAAGTCTGACCACTTCTCCCTTTTCTACAGGGCTGTGTAATCCCCACGGTACCCAGCAATGTCTTGTGTACTGTGTCCCAAAAGGCTAAGTAACTCATACTTGGGGCTAGCACTGATTAACTGGAAGTCTGATGACAAGGTACAGGTGCTCTCTGAAGCAAACCTATGATGAGGGGGACCTGGAGAGCAGAGGTCCGCAATCATGGCACTGCTAATGTTCTGAGCCAAATCGTTCTCTGTGGTGACGGCTGTCCTGTGCATTTCCAGGATGTTTAGCAGGATGGCCTCTATCTTAAATGATGGTAGCACACCCTCCTCCCCACTGTAACAATCAAATACGCGTGGTGGGAAGAGGAGTTGGAGGGTACAGCTCAGCGGTGGAGTGCAGTGCTTCGCAAGCACAAGGTCCTGGGTTCAAACCCCAGTACTTGCATTGAAATAAATAAATTAAAATGTTTCTAGACATTGCCAAATATTCCTGGGGATGGAGTGGGGGGCGGGGGGAGTGGTAAAATACTCTCTTCCTTTTTTCCCTTTCTCCCCCATGTTGAGAGCCACTACTGGAGAATGAGAAATAGTCCCCAAGTCACTGCATTCCTTTTCTACCGAGAAAGCAGATTGAAGACAAACATGGAGATCTTTCCTAATAGCTACTTTTGTGACAGGCACCTTCCAGACTATCTTTACCAAGCTATGGCTAACAGGGTAAGTCACAAACCCTAAGCTCTAGTTTCCCCTTCTCTAAAATAGAGATATTGTACCAAAGGTTTCGGACGGTTGTGACAGTTGAATTACCTAATGCATACATAATGCTTAGCCCAGTGCCTGGCACACAGTTCAGTGTTCAGTAGCTGTGAGTTATTATTAACACATACAGCTGGAGTCCAAGAGCTGAGCAAAGCAGCGTAGGTGTTGCCTCCATTCTTTCTCTGCTCTTCCCATTCCTCTCCTCCCCAAGGAGAAAGTAAAATAATTCAATACTAAACACAGTGCAATGGTTTTTCAGAGCTGACAGCATTCAGAACAGGTGAGAGAGCAGCAGGAAAAAAGGGAGAATCGAAGGATGGCATGAAAAGTGTGGTGTCCTGCATGGGAGGCAAAGAGGTACGTACATTTCATACTAAAAAGGAAGAGGCAGAAAGATGCCTGTTTCATTCCACAAAGAGTTTCTTATAAGGAAGCGGCATCCTTATAAGAAGGAAGATGAGGGGTCAGAAGGATTTACATCTTTCATCCAGAAAGGTCCTGCCCATGTGTATCTCCCCTTCCAGATATTACAGGAGTTGCCTGCATTACAAATACCTTATAACTTCAAATAGTTTCATCGTTTCTCCCTAATTCACTACATGGTGACCAAGTTGCAGGGGAAAAGGCACTTCCCAGTGCTGGGCATTAGGAAAGACTGACCTCACATTTCTTCTGCACGTTTCTTCACCCTAAGAGGAATTTTACAAATACCAGGTTTCCCTATTCTCCCTCCCGTTCCTCGTTTCACAGTCACAGTTCAAAGACAGACACACATACACATACAATCATGTTCCATTTTCTCCATCCTTCCTTCGCTCCATTAGTAAACCAAGGAACACAGGCCATATGTATAGTGTATACAGGACAATGACATTTAAATAAAAGTCTGGAGTAGCTTAATAGAGGCTTGTGTCAGCTGTCACTTGCTGTGCAACCCGGGTCAATTAATCTTCACAAGCCTCAGATTTTTCATCTGTACAGTGGGAGTGACCATCTCTGCCTTACAGATCCAATATCAAACATGCAAAGCTCCTGGCTCAGGACTCAGAATATAACAGAATGCTCAATAAGTAACTGCTATTATCATATACCAAAATTATACATAAAGTCTCTGTCCTTCAAAGTGCCCAGGTTTACCAACAGAAATACTGCCCCAAAAATTCATTTTCTCCTACAATTTCCTTCTACTAAGCCTAAAGACTCCTCACACCACTCCTCCCTCCCGCCAAAACAAACAAAAACTAACTTAAGTGTAGGATAACCCATCTTATTCAAGCATGGTTTGTAAACTTTGTTTCATCACCATTATTGTTTCAAATATTTGACATTTTGACACCAAAAGTGAGAAAACATTCTGGGTTCAGTCTGGGGGCGGAAACCTTCATCACATGAATCTCATTGCTGCTTCTGCAAAACACTTTCTGTGTTCCAAACCCATTTTGGGAGAAAAGCGATCAGTAATCAGGAAACTAGCTATGCTTTTTTTTTTTTAATTCCCAACACCTATTGAAATAACTACCCACTCTTACCAGCTCAACTATGAAAACATAATGGTGGTGAAAAATTTTTCAATTAAATCAGAAATGTTTCCCTCAAGTAAACGAATAATTCAGGGACCCTTGTCATCCTACAGTTTGGGCACAATTTTTAAAGGAATTCTATAAAAATCTAAGTATCTGAATTTTCTATTCCTGGTAATTTAAACAAACATAAATCAGATTAAGATTTACAAAGTTAAAGGCAACTGCCAAAAATCTGTTTATTTTCTTGTCAATTTTAAAGTGAGACTGATAGCAAGAAACAAAACAGCAATTTTTCAAACTAATATTTAAAGGCATGGCTAGAAATTGTGATTTCAGTCTCTGTGTATGATTCCAACTTCTACTGAGGCAATGTGAGCATGCCTGTACATTATCTGCACATGTGAATAGAAAAGAAAAAATCCTACAAGGAATCTTCAATTATTACAAGTCTGTGGGCCATATTAGCTCTTCAACTATGAAAATCTTACAAGCAAAAGTGAGGTTCATAGGTATGGTGTTCAGTGTACGTTTCCACAATCAGAACTAGGAATAGACAGTAACATCTATTAAATCCAAGTGGTGGTGTATTAATTTCTCCATTCCTACCTTAGCTCCTAGATGTTTTATAAAGTAACTTCTTGTTTCAGTCAATATTAACTGGACTCGTTTGGCTTTTAAAATTATTCTTAGCACATTTCTAAGTATAAAAGTTCTGAAAATCTTATCTATTCCTTTTCAAATTTAAGAGAAAAACAACAATCTCAAGTAAGTAAATCACTTATCAAACATACATAAAGAAAAATTCAACTGGCCCTCTCCCTCTCTCTCCCTCTTCAGAGTCGGCCCACATTCTGTCTATGGAGTGTGTACCTACTTTTAATCTGAGCACCCAACCCCCACACCTCGTGGCCTTTCTCTTGCCTTTCAGTGTATCTCTCTGAATAAATCTACCTTTACTCAAAAGAAAAAAAAAAGAATAATTCAACTATGTGAAAATATTTAATGTGTAAAGAAAAGCTGAAAAGGAAACAAACAAAACCTCTGGTCAAGCTGTTGAGATTTAAGGAAGATATTTATCTTTCACTGTAATTACAATTAACTTTAATATAGTGTTACTTTCATTTTACTGAACTACAAAAAGATTTTAAAGAGCCTAAGCCATATATATTATGGTCAAAGAAAAGTGAATGACCAAGCAAATGAGATATTATCCCCAGCAATAGAGTCTACAAAATGCTCCTGCCAAAAGCTAGTCAGACATCACTTAGAGAAACATGATCCCACTTAGAGAATTAATAACACATTCACTCATGACAAAAGCAAATGTACATTTTTCTCTTTTGGAGAAACTGAGGCAAACAGCATTTCTCAAATGTCTCCAAGATAAAGGAGTGGCGTCTGGCTGGTGATTCAGCCCCTGGCACTCTAACTTACCCTTTTCCATTCCATGAAAACCTACAGAGAACACAGTAATCCCATTTAAAACTCTTAAATACTTCTGAAAAACAGGATGAGGTTTTACAAGTTTGTTAGGAAGTCATCCTATTAAAAGCCACCACTTTTTGACAAAATACTCAAGTTGATCTTGAAAAATATACATGAGAAAATATCCATGGAAATTCTGAAAGCACAAAGGGCAAAGAAGAGAGGTTGGCTCAGCCACGTATCAAAACACATTATAAAGTGACAGCGATTCAGTCTGATGATGGCTCTTGAACGGAGAACCGAATGCCTAGTTTTTGAGTGGGAAGGTGGGGATGGGGGGCTGGACCCCCTCTGCCACTCTTTAAACCAAAATAAAATCCACATGGATGAAAAATGTGAAGACAGATCTTTTATTTTAGACATGTACATCACCAGTACTCCTGATACTTCCTGGGAGTATATGTAAGCAACTAGTACCTTCAAGGGGAGTGACCTAAAACTCACAACTATGAGTATCTCTGCACCAAAGGCATCGTATCACCATTCATAAAGCAAAAACTTCAGCAGTTACTAGGAGAGATAGAAACTCTTTAATTGTATGAGACTTTTATTCACGTCTTGGTCCAGGGCAGAATAAGTGGACAAAAATAAGAATATAGAAATAATGCAAAATAGGTCTAAGGTACAAACCCACATTTAACTGTGGACCCTGAAAATAAAGAATATACCTTCTTTTCACATATTCACAATATGGTCATAAAAGTACCATATATTATGCCACAAAAGGTCTACAATGAAGTACATTTATTTGAAAATAACTGTAAAATAGTGGTACAAAAGAGAAGCGGTGATAACAAACACAGGATCCTTGAAGCAACTATGTGATCAAATACAGCTGTGATGCATGCGGAGGGTAAGAACTTTCAGTTCCTACAGTAGTTTGTTGTGATCACATTTTTCAAGAAGCCACAGAATCCCTTGAGAAAAAGGTAGTTAAAACCATCTGCTACCTCCCAAAATACCCAAGGTAGGAGACTATCTATGTTCTATTTCTATATACACTAAAAGACCACCACCTTCTACTGCATTTTCATGCTTCATTATCTTCAACGAGAAGTTCATTCCTGGGCATTGCTTAAGCCTCTTAACACTTATAGATTATTTATTTCTTCAAGATCTGTTTTTGGCAGAGGTGGAGGCCATCTTTCACCCCACTCCCCATAGCAGTCTTCCACGTGTATAGGAAGATGCCATGCAGACTACTGACCGTGTTAAATCTCCAGGCTTAAATATCCTCCTCACAGTCTAAATCTTCATTCCCTCATGACTGTCCTCACTGAGCTGGGACTTCTCTAATTCCAGCACATCCAAACAAAGAAAAATGTCCTCTCAAATTTCTTTTCCACATGGCTAACTTGTTTATATTTATGCACCCATCAAAGCAAACGCTTAGAAAATATAGTCTCCACTTTAAAAGTTCAAGTTACACTGTTATGGAACTCATTTTGCCTCCATTAAAATTTTTTTTAAAAAACAGGTCTGAGTTTTGGTAGAATTAATCCACAGGAATAATTAAAATTTTATTTTAAGAAACGGACCCACAATGGTTATTTCCTTAAACTGTATTTGCCCTGTTTAAAATGCCGTCCTCCCCCATCAGTATCACTGATTCCTATGCAAATTCTGAAAGGACAATTCATTCTAACACATTAAGACTTGCTTTTTCTCCATTTCAAGTCAACTTTCTCGAAGGTCCTCATGCCCACATGAGATCAAGCTCCCCGCACTCCTTTCTCTGCCACCGCCCCGTTGGGTTTTCGCCGAAGCACTTAACAGAGTTTTCAGCTGCTTTGCTGCCAGTTTGCTGATTTTGTCTCTGTGCAGGAAGGGGGACCCTGCCTGAAGCAGCTCAGAGCCCTGCATGTGCTGCGGCTGGACCCATCAATGCAGGACGTGGAGAACCAATATTAAAAGCACTGTCCATGCCTGTGGATAGACCACAGTCATAAAGCTATTAATACTGATATGTAATCTTTAAGTAGGTAAATTAATACCAGAAGTGGCAAATTCCGATAACACACCATAATACACCAAAGCCTCCAATGCAGAAAGCATGCTGGGCAAACTTACTCAAGACAGCCAAGCAGTGGACAACGAACCAGGGCCTCACTGCATTTAAGAAAAAAAAAAAACAGAATAGCAAGGGGGTGCTGAAAAGATGACCTGCTTTTATTACCATCACACATGCACCAACAGACAATTTCAGAGCATTTAATGAAAACTTTGTTTTAAAATAGATCGTTCTTTTCCTGAAGTTTGGAGCACACCACTGACTGAGGACATGTGATCACCACCTTCCCCTGGCAGGACCCAAGTTTTAACGATAATTTCCAGAAGCTTCACTTAGATAACATAGCTGTGTGTGTGAGGCTGTAGTGAATGAGAACAGTTAATTTTTGCCTGAATGCTTTTTATTAAAAAGTACATTGCAGTGACAATTTCTAGGGCCATTCTGCAGTTATGAAATAAAAGATTTATATTTAATAATATATTTGTGGTATCCGAATTGTGGGCTGGAAGTTTCTTTTGCAACTTGGACAACAGTTAGCATGCATTGATATTTTAAATTTTAACTTGGTTTTCTTTAAACATTCTTTAATAAGTTTCTTCATCAAAAAGCCCAACTAATTTAAGAAATACTGTGAAGAATTTTCTATGAGAGGAAAAAAAAAGAGTTGCCTTTTTAAGTCATATATAAATTTAAAACATTTCCTAATGATCAAATGCAAAATGGATCACATCTCAGAACCACTATTTTCACAGCCCAACTATGTTATGGACATAGTACATAACACAAGAAACCAAGTGAATCAGACTGGTTTGTCATACTGAATATGATTTTAGAAGATCAGCCTTGGTTGAGCATGTATTTTGGAAAACAGCTTGGTGGTTTCTCAAAAAGTTAAGCATAAAACTGTCGTAAGACCCAGCAAATTCCACTCCTAGGTACCTAGATAAGAAAAAGAAAAATACATCTACATAAAGACCTGCATGCAAATGTTCATAGCATTATTATTCAAATGCTAACTGCCACTCCAAAAAAGCTGGAAACAACCAGTCTGTCCTATCCAGACAATGGAATTAATTACTCAGCAACTAAAAGAACAGAGCTACTGACACAGGCTATGCCATAGATGAACCTCAAAAAATTATGTGAGTGAAAAAAGACAAATGTAACAAACTACAAGGTCCTGTGTACATAAAGTGCCCACCAAAGGCAACTTTATACCCAGACAGAAAGTAGATTAATGGTAGGATGGGGCATGAGGGATCTTATTGGAGGGATAAAATGTTCTAAAACTGATGAATGGTGATGGTTGAATCAGTCAGTAAAGTAACTAAAAACCACTAAATTGTACACTTGAAATGGTCAACTTTATGATATGTAAAATAGACCTCAAAGCTATAGAGGGAAAAAATTAAAAACTTTGGCTGGAAAGAAGCATTCATAAAACAAGAAGTAACACAGGAGATAAAAGATCTGGGTGATGGTGAATGGACCTTGACTAAAGCTAATTACTTCTCTTCTCCTTTACAAAAAAAGTCATTTACTGAGCTACTAAAAGACAACCAGGGGTAAGCTTCTACTTCACTCTTTAAAATAATCAATAATATCAATACCTTAGGGATGTCACCACAGAACTATGGGTGACCTCAGAAACCAAGTCCTGTTCTAGGCTTGTCGTGAGAACTGTCATGATTTTTAAGACTAAATTAAACTCACATTAAGTAAATCTAAAGATTTTCACTCTATCCTTAGAAAAGTATGAGTGTTAAAATAAGAAACATATGAAGAAGTTTCTGTTTTTAAGACTAGGCCCCTATCATGAGGGTTAAAACAAAAAACCCTACACTATGAGGAAAATGACAGAATTTATCTAATTCATTCTTTTACAACTTCCAATCTAGGGCTTTTTGTCTTCTGGGCACAATTCCCATTTAAAAACAAAAACTAAGTTTAATTGGTTTACTTTAAATTTTGCTAAAACCAAGTGACACAGACATTAATGTGCTTATTCTTTCCAACATTTTCAGGGAGCAGAACTTCATTCTGAAACAAATGTAACACACTGGGTTTCATTATACCCTTTTACTATCCTAATGTTAGTAAATGCTGCTGCCTAATTTTTTCCATGTGGTAGAAAGTTTGTATTTACACAGTTTTTTTTTTTTTAATGAAGAGTTAGCACAAGAATGGTTTAACTCTAAAAGGGAACTAAGGGCGGGGTTGGGGGGGAGTGGGAAATACACAGACTATAAAAGAAAAAA